GCTGTGGTGGGGGGGACCCGGTAGGCTGACCAGACCGGACCGGGACGGGTGGCCCGGCCAGGCGGGAGGCCGCCGCCTGCCTCTGACACGCATGTGAGAGGGCTCGACTTGGGGGGCTGTTTCGCTTTTAAAAGTGGTCCGTGAGGGGTGCCGGGGCGAAGGGCTCTTTGTGCTATTTTTGCATTAGCATAATTATTTCAAAATTAAAGTGAAAAGAAAGCACATGGACGTTTCTTCTCGTGGAGTTCCACTTCTCGCGTGTCGCTGGGTCCCCGCCATGGCCGGCGAGAGCAGGTTGTCCGTCCGCATGCGGATCAGTCTCCAAGGCCTGGTGGGGCCCAGTGGGAGACCGGGCCCCGAGCAAGCCGCTGGGCCAAGCCGCTGGGCCGCGGTCCCCGGGAAGGAGGAACGAGCGGAGGCTTAGAACGACTGTGATCGGAATGCAGTCGGGAAAGGACGTCCTCCCCCGCCCCCCAGCACTGGTCTGTGAACCTCATGTGGCCATCCGAACCTCGAAACGGGCCTGGCCCAAACTGTGATGTGCTTTCTGGGTTTCCAAGACCTCATTGTAAAAGGACTATAAACTGTCTCGTAATTTTATACTGATCATACATTACAATGGTAATATTTCTGATGTGCTGGGAAAAATATGTAGCGTTGATTTTATCCTCTTTGGAAAACCTTTTTAATGTGGCAACTAGAAAACAATTTACATATGTAGCTCACATTTTATTTCTGTTGGACAGCACTGATTTATACCAACTTCTGATTTATACTAACTTTGAAGTAAGAACTGGATGATGTGCTTATCCTATCAAACTCACGAGCTACATTGTTAAAGCAATATTTTACCAGTGTTATAATGCTGTAAGATTAGTTGCAACCTCTGATGTTTGCAATCATGAAAGTACAGTAAGCCTTCACTTAATATCAATATGATTTTGGAAACGATGAATTTAAGCAAAATGATGTGTAAGGAAACCAATTTACCCCAGGTTCATCCTTATCAACAGGAGTTAAGTTCTTAGCACGTTTCTGGTCACAGAAACATGACCAAACTACTAAGTAAAGACCCAAAACACTGCTAATGTTAAACACTAAAATCTATGCGGACGTTGGGGGGACGTGCACGCTCCACACTGACAGTGGCGCCGGCTGGAAGTCCATTTTTTTCCTCATGAAAATTGAAACAAAACGATGTTGAACGAAACAATGTTGTTTGAAGTTCGCCTGTAATACACATTTATGGATGTATTTTGATTTAGGTGACTCAAAGATTAAGCAAATTAGCAGGTAGTTATTTGTCTTTATTAACATTTTAAACAAGCTTCTTAGATATAAAGAAGTCTTTCAGGTACTTCATTTGGAAAATTCCAACTGAGATAAAGATTAATGTTTGTGCAAAAGCCCACCATAAAACATTGCTATTTATGTCTTCACTGGTCATTCGAAAATTTTCTTCACGGTCCTATGCAGAAGAGAAATAGGCAGGTTTAGTTTCTTAAAGTACTTAACCCATGAATTTGAGGGGATGGTGCTATATTTGGTGGAGGCATTTAATGTTCCCAATTAGTATCTTGTACCCAGTGCTGTCTCTGCTTTTCTAAGACAGGTGTGTTGTTAGCCAAAGGCAAGGTGTGAGGATCAACCTGGTGACAGATATTTTGTATTTTGGTGTAAAAATGTCAAGTATTTGACTGCTAATTTTTTACATCTGTCACCATTGGCAAAGTGAGCTTTATCCAACAGCTGTGGACTTTTGTCGTTTGAATTCTTATTTTGCTTTAAGCTGGGCCCTGTGCCAAGCACACCTGTCCTCATTTTAGTTTCCAGGTGAGGAAACTGAATCCTAGAGAAGACTCAAGGTTAGGGAGCGGTGGAGCAGATTAGAGCCCACGTCTGACCGGAGTCCACTGAGTGCAGTGGCCCAGAAAACAGAATGCCACAGGAACGGAGTCGTGATTTAGAAGGTTGGCATTCTGAGTGTCCTCATACTTGAGCTGTGTTTGGAAGCCCTCATTTGTTCATTCGGAAGCTCACACCCCAACGGTGAGTGAGCCCCGCCCCTCCTGGAGCAGCTCCTGGTCCAGCGGACCACTCTTGTCCTTCACCCTGCCCGTCCACATGGTGTGGCTCAGAGACAAAGACCAGAGAACAGGCAGGTTTTTTTGTCCTTGGTTCAGGGGCCTTGTATGGAGAATTATGTTCCTGGCAGGAAGATATAAAATGAGCTGAATAGGCAAACTGACCCTTTGATAGTTTTGTTCTTTGACAACTTGCTCAATTTGCTCAATTAGATGTTCAAGCTTGAAGCTAACTTCATTAACTTTGTCCTTCGCTTGAGCAATGGCTGCATCAAGGTCATGTTCTCCAACCCGAATATCTAAGTGGATCCGCTGTGCAAAGAGAGGAAAGGAAGAAGCATGCTTTAAAAACAGGTTTCCCTCTTTACATCCTCAGTATCCCTTCCCTTCGTGCCCTCCACCCCTTGGTCAGGAGCGGGCCGCACTTTGTTCTCCAGCCGCCTTTTCCCTTACTGCCACCCTGTTCCCTGTGGTACTCAGTAATTTTCATTTTGATAATAATGGTGGATCCGCTGTGCAAAGAGAGGAAAGGAAGAAGCATGCTTTAAAAACAGGTTTCCCTCTTTACATCCTCAGTATCCCTTCCCTTCGTGCCCTCCACCCCTTGGTCAGGAGCGGGCCGCACTTTGTTCTCCAGCCGCCTTTTCCCTTACTGCCACCCTGTTCCCTGTGGTACTCAGTAATTTTCATTGTGATAATCACCGAACGGTGGCCTACTGATCTGAAGGGTGCTTGTACCTTCCCGCACATCAGATTTACTGTCAGGCAAACACGTTTGGTGCTGAGAGGTCTGATTGCTCTCAGGGAAGTTTTCTTTCCATACTGCTGAGTTTCTCATGCTGAAGTACAAATTCTCTTCGTTTGTTCTCAGCACATTCAAAAAATAGCCAATCACCATCTACCGTGCAGAGTTTTATTTATTGGGATTCCATTATGAATTCACCCTCAGCTTTCACTTGTTTTCAAGCTCGAGTAATCACAGTTCTTTTAACCTCCCCTCACAGTTCTCATTTGTCAAGCCCTTTAATCACCTTCGTGGTGCTCCTTCAAGCCCCTTCCCAGCTCTCCAGCCCCGCTCCCCGCTCCCTGGTCACAGCACTGAGATCTGGGTGCTAGGCTCTAATGAGTTTGTAGCCAGTCTTGGTGTCATGGCTCTGCATACTGATGTCACGCCCGGATAGTGCCGGCGCTGTGTTCGTCCACAAGGATGCAGAGGTGGGTACTCACCAGCTTACTCCCTCCAAATGACACCAGCCTTGTGGAATTGGATTCTAGGCAAATGATGTGTTCGCCAGGTGAATGTGAAGTAAAGTAGAACGTTCCTTGCGGGCCGTATAACTTTGACAATAATACCTAGGATTGAGGATTTCCACAGTTTAAGGTTAGTTTCTACTTGCCATTCTTAGAAATATATCTTCTTTATATAATCTAGTAAAGATTGTGCAATTAAGAATTGTGCAATTCCTAAAGAAGAAATTAAATGGCCAGTAAACATGAAAGATATTCAGACTTGCTAGTAATAAAAATAAAAAAAATACAAACCACAGTGAGATATTCCTTGTTTGTTACCAGGTTGGCAAAGGTTTAAAAGTACCCAGGGACAGTGTTGAGAAATACCATCTCCAAACACTGTTGGGGGATATAAATTCATCAACCGTTCTAGAGAGGAGTTTGGCAATATGTATTAAAAATTAAAATGTATATAACCAATGACCAGTAGTTCTACCTTTAGAAATTTATTCCATAGATGTGCACAGGTAGACAAAGTTATATGTAAAAGGATTTTTATGTTGAAGGATTGATTAAATCTAGGCAAAGCCAAATAAAGGAGCATTACGCAGTAATAAAAGAGAATGTTATGCATTGGAGGTGTCCACCATATCCTCTGGTATAGCGGTTTTATAGGGCCCTCTTTTTGTAAAGAATATCATTGGTAAAAGCATACATGCGTATGTATGTTTCTGTATACTTAGAAGAATAAGATTCTGAAGAATACTTACTAAACTATTAGGTGGTTATATTTGTTGGGGGACTTTGGTTTTTGTCTATTTCTATATTGTTTGGAATTTTAAAAACAGGTATAGGGATTCAGGTCTGGCATATAAGGAGCTTGGAAGTTGTCACTCTCTCTTAACAAGAAGTGAAAAGGTGACGAGAAAGACAGTCAATTCTCTTAGATCTGTCAGATAATGGTGGTCACAGGGCAAACCACTGCCCTGCCCCCCCTCCCCCCACCAAATTGGAGAGACATACAACAAGCAAATACAAAGAGCACACCTGCCATGGAAGAACCTCTGTGGGAACCAGTACTGGGTTTCTTTTACCCAGTACATCACATCGGGCTTCCAGCAACAACAAGAATTTCGAGGTATACTTAAAAGGCAAGAAGATGCAGTTTGAAGAGACAGAACTAGCATCAGAATCAGACTCAGACATGCCAGGATATTTGAATGATCAGAACAGGAATTTAGAGAAACTATGATTATTATGCTAGGGGCTCTAATGTAAAAAGTAGGCAAGGACATGCTAGAACAGTTGGATGATGTAAACAGAAGGATGGAAAGCCTAAGAACGAATCAGAAAGACTGTTAGAGATAGAAACACCATAGCAGAAATGAAGAAAGCCTTTGATGGGCTGATTAGTGGAGGACACGTCCGAGGAAGGAATCTCTGAGGTCTCGGATTATCAGCGTCCACTTCCAAAACTGAAAAGCAAAGAGAACAAAGACCGAAAAAAAGGCACAAATGTTCAGGAACTGTGGGACGGCTGCAGAAGGCGTAACATGCATGAGGGGGATCCTGGAAGGAGAAGAGAGAGACAAAGGAGCAGAAAAAGCCTTTACAGCAACAATGACAGAACTTTCCCCAAATTAGTGTCAGACAACAAGCCACACACCAGGAAGCCCAGAGAACAAGGATAAATGCCGCAAGAGCGATACCTACGTGTATTACATCGAAACTCCAGGCGTCAGAGGTAAAACGTCCTGAGAGAAGCCTAGGGGGAACCCTTAGCTGTGAGGAGCTGTGTGGTTCTCAGAGGAGAGAACCATAGCTGGCCTCTGAGAATCACGCAAGCAAGCTGAGAGGGGTGTGACAAAGTCCTGAGAGAAAAAATGGCCACCTAGGATTCTATAGCTTGCAATATTCTCCTTCAGAAGTGAAGGAGAAATAGAGGTTTTCTCAGACAGTTGAGGGACTTTGTCACTGGTAGACCTGCCTCGCGAGTATGTTAAAGGAAGTTCCTCAGAGAGAAAACAACGTAGGTCAGCAACCCGGATGCACATAACGGGAGAGCCTTAGAAGAAGAATAAGAGGAGGTATCATTAAAAATTGCATTTTTCTTTACTGATCTAATGCATAACAGCCTGTTCGAAATAATAGCAACAACGTATTTGATGATTATAGTTTGCTTACGGGCGAAATGAATGACAGCAAGGATGCAAGGGTTGGGTGGAAAGAATTAGGAGTACTTTGTTATAAAGCACTTACTCTGCCTGTGAAGTGGTCAGATGTTGTTTGAAAGTGGACTTGCATTAACTGTAAGTGTATATTGCAAACTCTAGAGTAGCCACTAAAAAAAAAATTGAGAAAGGAAGCATAACCGAGATACTAAGAAAGGGGATGAAATAGAATCATAAAGTAGTCAATTCAAACACAAAAGATGGAAAAAGAGTGGAAGACAAAAATGGGAACAAAGACCAGGGCAGTGACTAGAAAACAGTAACGAATGTGGCAGATGTTGACCAGACTCTGTCAGCGATCACTTTGAGTGCCAGTGGTCTGGTGCGTGTTCAGAGACAGATTGCCGGAGTGGGTCCGAAAACAAGACTCAACTATAGGAGCTCCTTTAAATAAAGACACAGAATGATTAAAAGTCAAGAGATGAACGGGTGGATGTGCTAACTTTAAGCGAACGTTGATCAGAAGAAAGCCGGAGCCACTATTTTAACTTCAGAACAAGGGAAGCCGTCAGGGTGAGCGGCATCACGGGGCATTACCTAGCAATAGAGGCGCATTGCCCCGGAACACAAAACAACCCTCAGCGTGAAAGCACCTAACGACAGAGCTTCAAACTACATGAGAACAAACAGAACTGCCCGAGAGGGAGAAGAGCCCACCCCTGTGGCTGGAGACGTCAGATCTCCTCTGCCAGAGTACAGGGCCAGCAGACGGGAAATCAGTATGGACATGGTCGAACCCAATAGCACCATCGATCACTGGGCAGAATGACATCTACAGACCACTGCACCCATCGGCAGCAGATGACACACCCTTCTCAAGGTCATTTGGAACAGCCACCACACTGTGGGCCATGACACTCCTTAACACATTGGAAATAACAGAAATGTGGGGTGTCTGCTCTCAGACACAGTGGAGTCAAACCACAAACCAGTATCAGGAAGATAGCTGGGAGACCCCAATATTCAGATATTGGAAACATGTCTAAATAACACATAGATCAAGGAAGACATCTCAAGAGAAACCTGAAAGCATTGTGAACTAGCAGAGGATTCTGTGAGGATGGAGTAGAAAGCACCAGGAATATGTCTCCCCGTCCAGACAGTTACAAAGACAGTCTTTTCAATAACTGACGCTGGAGCAATTGGACGTCCACGTGCAAAGAAGTGAATACGGACACAGACCTTACACCTTTTGCAAAAATTAACTCAAAATGCATCATAGATCTAAATGTAAAGTACAAAATGATAGAACTCCTGGAAGATAACATAGGAGAAAATCTAGGTGACTTTGGGTTTGGTTATCACTTCTTACATACAACACCAAAGGCACGATCCATGAAAGAAGTAATTGAGAGGCTGGGCTTGATTAAAATGAAAAACTTCTGCTCTGCAAGAGGCACTGCCAAGAGACTAAGAAGACAAGCCACTGATGGAAAAATATTCACAAAAGACACACTGATCAGGGGTGGCTCCACAGTGTAGTGGTTAGCACGTCTACTTTACATGCAGAAGGCCCTGGGATCGCGCCCTAGATAGAGCCACGGACCATACCCCGGGTGCGCCAGGCCCCGGGTGCACGCCACAAGCATGTGGGAGAGGACGCCCCACATTCAGAGGTCTAGTTCTTAAGGGGAAACGGCAACGTCCATAGGTCAGAGAGGGGAAAAAAGAAGATACACTGATCAAGGACTTATCCAAAGCATACAAAGAACTCTGAAAACCACAATAGGAAGACGAACACATCAATTAAAACATAGGCAAAAATTCTGAGTAGACAACTCATTAAAAAAAGATATACAGAGGGCAAATAAGCACATGAAAAGATGCCCTCTTATGTATCATTAGAGAATTGTAAATTAAAAATGAGATACCACTTCCCACTTATGACAGTGAAAATTCAGAACACTGCCAACACCAAGTGCTGGCAGGGATGTGGACAACAGGACCTCTCTCACATGGCTGGTGGGAACGCAGAATGGCACAGTCACTCTGGAAGACAGTTTGGCTGGCTGCTCTTGCCATATGATCCAGCAAATATACTGGTTATTTACCCAAATAAGATGGAAAGTTATGTATACATGAAAAACCTGTGCATGGATGTTTATAGCAGTTTTCATAATTGACAAAATTTGAAGCAATTAAGGTGTCCTTCTGCAGGTGAATGGATAAATACACTGTGGTCTTTCCAGACAATGGAGTATTTATTCAACTATAAAAAGAAACAAGCTCTCACGAGAAAAAAATTTGTAATTATATGAAGTGATGGATGGTATCTAAACTTATTGTGATAATCACTTCACAATAGATACATATATTGAATCATTATGTCGTATATCTTAAACTAATATTTGTTATACGTCATTTATATCTCAATAAAACTGGAAAAAAATGTAAAAAATAAAGCTCAAGGCACGAAAAGACATGGAAGAACCTTAAATGCATATTACTAGGTGACAGAAGCCAATCTGAAAAGGCTACACACTGTATAATTCCAGCTATGTGAGACAATGGAAAATGCCAGATATGGAGACAGTAACATGATCAGTGGTTGCCAGTCGTTAGGGAGGTAGAGTGGGGAGGGATGAGCAGGTGGAGCACCAAGGATTTTTAGGGCAGTATCTACTCTGTATGATACTACAGTGGAAACCCATCGAATGTACAGTGGAAGTGAACTCTAGTGTCAACCAGGGACTTCAGTGCCAGTGTGTCAGCGGAGGTTCACTGAGTGTGACAAAGGCACCATCTGGTGCTGAAAGTGGGGGACGCTGTGATTGCTATGAAGTCATTGACGGAAGTGTACTACGCAGAGGAAAATGCAATACACGTTCTTTAAGTTGTTCAATTTTGATTTGCAGATAATTAAAGTATCTTGCCACATACTTAATTCCTTTTAACAGACTGCTGATAGAGAAATTTTATTTAGTAAGAATGCATTCAAGAGTCAGATTTTACAACTGAATTCTAATTTTGAATGAATAACAAAGACCTCTGTAAAAATATGCAGTGACTTTATTACTTATTAATTTCTGAGCTTTAGTTTCATATCAGGGTTCACATAGTCTACTTCCAGTGGATTCTCAAGTGAGCAAACGTGTTTTGAATGGCTGCTGGTTTGATGCATTGGGGAAAAAAACATACTTAAGTTTAAATCTCCGCGTCACCACTCGCTGGTGAGCTCTCGTGTGCCGTGTAACCTCTCGGAAGCACAGTTTTTCTCCTGTGAAGTGGGACGGGAATATTGGACAGGGCATAATGGGAAACAGATCCAAAATGCATACGCTGGTGTGGTACATATGTGCTGCTAATATAGTCTGCCCTGCCCACTCTACCAGCCACGTTGTTCCCTTGGGCTGTCAATCACATGCATAGGAGTGGACACATGATGGGAGGGTGTGACTTACAGTGTCCCACGCCCCCAGACACGCTGGCCCACACGGGAGCAGTCAGAGCCCTGTGTGCCGACAGGACTCTTAGAGATTCTGGAACCAGAGCTGTTTCATCTTACTTCCCAATGGAGAAGGCCTTCCGGAAAAAGGGCTGTGGGCGAGAGGGGGTCTCTCCCAGGCCGGGAGGAGGGCTGGGCGTGTGTTGGCCCATGGTAAAATCTGTTGGATGTTTGCAAAATTAATGAAAATATCTCTCTCTTCTCCTAGAAATGAGTATTGTTTCAGGCAATTTTGTTTTTGCAGAAAAAACCTTCTCTGTCTTAACAGTGAACAGATTTTTCTGTGACTATTTTTAGCCCAACTAAAGTTTGGGTCCTGGGTTGAATAAAATATGGAGACCTTTCCTAATTGCCCATGAAGGGCTACTGGGGAAGAACGAGAGACCTGGGCTTTGATGTCGCTGGGCGAGAAGCACAGGAGGGGAAGGAGGCTGTCCTGACAGGTGGCTGGACTTGGGAAAAGGGTCCCAGGGAGCTATTGTCAGGGAGGTGCCAAGTGCACAAAGAGAGACTGTGACAACAGGCAGGAATCGAGTGTCCGGTAGTCCAGCTCCATGAATGGCATCAGGCCTGTGTCCTGCCCAGATTTTGGCAAGGATAGGGATGTTGGTCTCCCTGCACCAGGCACCCTCTCTCGTCACCAGAGATGCCTGTTCTGTCCCACAGGGCTCTGCTGCGCCACCACTCTGTGGCTCCGTGCGTCCCAGGACGCCTCGAGTTCCCACCCCCATGTCTGCGTCATGGGCTGGGCACGTTGAAGTGCCTCGAGCTGGCGTGGTCCGTGTGGACATCTGCTACGTCCACTGTCTAGAGGGTAGACAGGATCAAAGCAGGCAAGTGACCTGCCCAGGATGCACCTTGTAGAGGACAGTCTGCACTTCAGCCTGGTTTTGCTCCGAAACCCACATCTTCCCATCTGCCTGTAGTGCCCCTCCTGTTCCTTTGCCAACTCCCAGGGACACCGGACAGACTCTGAGGCTGCCTGTCCTGAGAAAGGACAGAGGGGTGGCGGCCTGTCTGGCTCTCTGTGGTTTGGGGTGGGGAGGCGCTGTGGCATGAGTAGGGAAGATGAAGCCTGGCCCCTGCAGAACCATAGGGACACCGTGGCTGTGGGTCCCCTCTGCCCAGCAAAACCAGCAGACCTCGGGGTGGGTGGTTTAACCTGCATCTGGCGTCTGTGCCGTCAGCCTGACGCGGTGCGTGGGAGGCAGGCAGGTGCCTGTGTCATCGTGCCAGGCCTTAGTCCTGGGCCCTGCACGCTGCGAACAGTGAGCACTGCTTACTGGGCACTCACGCACAGATCTCAAGGTGGTGGGGGCACCGCACCCATGGATTTTAGCAAATGACAGATTTTAGTAACAAAAAGAGAATGATTTACCTCATCACTGTAAGTTGTAACAGTCACAAACAGCCCCAGGCCAGGAGCAGATTCAAGGAAATCATGTCTGCCCACGTCCCATCGCTGTATCTTGAAAGTCCCTGTTTCAAAAGTGTAAGGGGTTTATTAGGAAATGCCTGTAAGGAATAGCTCTCTGTGATTACTGACCGCTGCACGGTTTCGCAGTGCACCCGAATCACAGCAGACTCGGTCCGAACAGCGTGCGCCTGGTGACCCGTCACGTAGCGGAGGCAGAGACCGGAACGGTAGGCAGAGCCCACGGTCCCGTCTCGCTCTCGTCTGCCAGTACTTCATGCTCTGAGCCTCAGTTCCCTACTCAGGAAAGGGGAGACAGACAGCTCATGCGCCCCCAAAGTCTCAGAGCTGTGAGGACTGTGGAAGCAGACAGAGCAGACGTGGGCCAGGGCCGGGGCCTCCTTGACACCCCGGTTCTCCCGCCCTCAGCTTCTGCAGTCCCTCCTGAACTCGGCACAAGTCCTTCCCTTGCCGTCACGTCGAGCCCGCCCTTTCACTGGCTCCAGAGGCTCCTGCTAAAGTTTGGAGGGCTGGAAGGGCCCCCGCTTTCTGCATCAGGACATTATAAGTATCACATGGCCCACCTTCCTCCTTGTCCCTTCAAAGACACGAGAATGAAAAATGGCTAACGGTACCTGACGTGTGTCAGGTACTGTGTAAAACGCGTATGTGCATCACCTTGTTTATCCTCAAAATGACCTCTTAGGAAAGCATTTCATTCATTCATTCACCCGGTCATTCGTCCATGAGCACCTCCTCGGCAGCACTGCTCTAAGAGCTGAGGACAGAGGTGACAAAATAGACAGTGTCTTTGTCCCCATGGAGCTTTCTTACAGACCAAAGTAGACAAGCAGATATATATTTTTTGTCGAAGGTGTTAATGCCAGGAGCAGCAGGTAGCAGCGCTGGGGGTCTCGAGCGTCACGTAGGGGTCAGGGGCTTTGCTGACATTGGAGCAGAGACCTGAAGGAGCAGGGGAGTAAAAACTATACGATATATGTAAATTATATCCACATATATTGCATTCAGTGCTGATCATGTGCCAGACACCAGTCTAAGGCATTTACACACATAATCTGAATTTTAAGGATAACATTATGGAGGTTGACATTC